TTGTGTCTGTCTTGCCTCACTTGCTCTCTTCTTGACTTTACTTGTACTGTGACATATATATACCTGCTCCTGCTTGTCTAGTGTTATATATATGTCTGTACTCCTGCATGTGAACTGGCCTCTGGCCCTGCTCTTGTGCTCGGACTGTGTGGTGACTTTGTGATCCACCCTGAGCTTGCTTTGCTTTGCTTTGCTTGACTGGTCTTGTGACCCCTTGTTCTCCCCCACTTTGCCTATGGGGGTGTGTCAGATTATTATAGCTGATACATGTTTGTAGGCTATAGTGGGGTAGCACATATGGGGTACAGCTTTCTAGGGTTGTATTTGTACCCAACACTGGCTTAGTCATTTCCATTCTGATCATTTATTCTCACACCTACCCTGTGCTGGTTAAAGGCACCTGGATTGGTGCTCGTTCGACTGCTGTACAGAAAATACAAAAAAAAAAAGTGGAGTTCGCGGCACTGTTCTACTCCGACAAAAGCGGGCTGGGTGAACGACACGCGAAAAAGTCGGGGAGCTGCGAGGATAACATCGGTGCAGTTTACAGGTTTCTCCTGACCCGGACGTCTACACACGAGGTAACGGCGCAGTGGCGAAGCTGAGACCGGGAAGCTGTGAAATTTTAGTGGCGTCATAGGCACGGCGGGCTGCAAAACGGTTGGGCGATAGTTTCCTTTTAACTAAGGTCCCGACTCCGATAGTTTTTGCCTCTCCACCGGGGCCGTGTTCGCGCAGGCAACAACGACGATACCTCATCCGACAAAAGCGGACGCTGGGTGAACGGCGGGAAGCGGAATTGTGGGGGGGTGAATACGAAAAAATGACGACGGAGGGAAAGTTCTGGGTGATCCAGCAGATCACTTGAGTGAGAGGTTGAGCCCGTGCACCAATCCACCGCGAATTTCGGAGTCTATTCGGTAGACCCCCGAAAGGGTTTGATATTGTTACATGGAGGTGCGGCGAGCGGTATATTGCCAATGATACATGGGATTCGCTAAGTGGTTCCGACGGGTATGAAGATGGGTGAACATCGGAGTACCAGGGAAAAAACGGCGGAAACGTCGGGGCTATACGGCGGAGAATAACTTCGGGACTGCAGCCTCAACCACAATTTTCGGGGTTATATTTCTACCAAAAAAAAAAAGAGTTGAAGCTGAGGGTGTTTCTTCGCTTCTTGGAGTGCGGTTGAGTCGTTGGGGGACTTCGCCTGAAGGGTCGCTTCTAAGTCGCCTGGCAAGAAACACAGCGGCGGGTATACCTAGAACCCACTGGTGTTTAAACGTACACCGCGGGAAATTCTTCAGTAAAAGGGAGCGTGGGAGCAGCCGAAGTTTTCGGATTTACCTACCGGCGACGAGCGATGGGTGAAACATCTGCAAAGCGCCAGTGGGAGTTTTGTGTGGTTTTCAGTTAAACTTATCGGCGGGAGCAGTTTCGACGACGGGGCCAACGGCGTTGATGCCACTAGGTTCCGTGAAATTCGGTCTCGGAAGACCCAGGGCAGTCCCCGGTTCTCGATTGAACCCACACGCTGGGGTCGGGTAACCGAAGGAAACTGATGGTGACCGGGTGGGCGGCTATAGTACGACCGAGATTTTCGGAGGAGAACTGCACCTGCATCTGCGGGTTTTCAGGGCTGTGTTCAAACGACATTTTCGAAGTTTACGCGGGACTTTACAGGTTTTACGGCGAGAAGCGGCTACAATTTCGGAGGAGAATTCGGCGTTTGGTTAACCGCGCGCGACATTTACGCAGGGCAACACCGCGGGAACTACACGGAGTTTTCAAGGGGTACGAACGACTTACGACGAACTGAAGAAGGCGGCAACAACAGTGACGGGGGGAAGCGACAGCTGTAAAATTTCATCCCTGCCCTTAAACTCTCGGCGCATTACGACAAATTTCTCGGAGAAACCATTCCAACTCTGCTACCGACAACTCGCCTTCGACCCGCCCACGACAACTGCATTAATTCTCAACCACGTCAGGTGCTGCCAGCTGCAGCTGCGGAAAGTACCACCGAAGTTCTCGGTGGAATCACGACAGTTCGAGCAACGGCGATTTTTCATCACGGTTTCTGGTCTACTTACCCGGGTTCGCCCTTGAAGACTTTTTTGGGCACGTCACACCTGATTTCGTCATCGATTTTCCACACCGACACGTTTTCACCTTGTCCCCTACGCTCAATGCTCGTTTTCAGTGGGACTTAACACCTGGTTCTGTTGGGTTTTACTTCGGCGCAGTTTTGAAGATTCTGTGGACAGCTTTCTTGGAAGGGGGGAGAAAGTGCTCTGCACTGTTCTTTCCTTGGCGTTTTTCTTGGTCCTTTCTGAGTTTGTCAGGTTGCGTCAGCACGACGGACGATCGCGATCACACCGACACGATCAACGGTCCCTGCTCAATCGCGTTTGAATTCGCGTCAGCAGGTTCCTTCTCTTTTCGCGTCAGTCTTCGACCGTCAGATCTACACCTGCTCGATCTACGGCCCACATTCCAACTTCTACTTCATTTTGGGCAGTTCATCTTCGACCGTCAGATTGAAATCGGACTTCATCAACGGCTTACATTCCAACCTTTTCAAAATTATTGTCAAAGGCATTTCGGCCGTCGGATTCAGCTAAAGAGGAGATCTGCGGAATCCTTGCTAGTGTGGGGCCTGTTTCAGTACAAGGCTGCCTTATTTAGAAGGTGGGAGAGTGTAAGGATTTACAAATCCTTACTGAGGCACTCGTTAGCGAGGCCATCCCGAGGGTCACGCGACGAACCTGACCTTCCTATTTCGTCGCACCGAACCACTCCCGAGTCGGCCTCCGCTCCAATCGCAACCATCACCGAGCCATCCCAACCCGAACCCCCCGCCTAGCTAGGTTTTCCTCTATTTAGGCCTCGCTACTTCATTGTTGCGAAATTCAGTAATTCAGTACTCAATCATTCTCGATATTCCTTTTACTGCGCACTCTGCAAGTTGATTCATAACACCCTGCTTGTAATGAGATAAACCTGCAGAGCAATTACGAATATCCAACTTCGCTCGGCGAAATGCTCTCATTGGGCCAACGCCAGGCGGGAGCTTTCAGCTTGCGAAAATATCTTCCGTGCTCAGAGTTTCACCGTTTTTGATCGCAAAGGAACGCACTGAGCCGCCGTTTGGGTCAGCACCTCAGACTAGGTTCGGCCGAGGTCACGACCAGCCACGAACCACACACGACAGCGAAATTTACAAGACGGAATTTCGGTCGTGAGTTGCTGATACCAAGCGTACTTTTTTCGTGTTCCAGACTCACAATTGAAGTGACAATGCGAGATCCCAAAACCAAAATCGGTGAGGAAGAAGTGCGCTTTTGCAACAACTTAGAAGTCTGCGAGTCCCGCTTATTCCTGAACATCCTCTCGGTCTGAAATAGGCTTGAGCTTGCTATGGTATGGTCTGGTGAAGCCATGTCAGCCGGTTTGGGAGGAGGCTAGGCCTGGTTCTGTTTCGCGCCTTTTCCCTAACCGTCCGTCAGACCCTGTTCTTGCGTCAGTACCCTGACCAACCGTATCGAATGTCAATCGAAACGCTTTCATTCGCAAACGCATCTTTCTGAAACGCACTAAGACGAACTCGATTCCGTCTTTTGCATCACCCTCAACCCTTCACAACCGCATCTCTGCAAGTCACGTATTCGTCAGTTCCGCTCCCTCCATTGCATCACCTTCAAACTTGGAAGCTTTCTTTCTCCCTCCATTGGATCACCTTCAACGTCCTCTTTCCTCCTTACATCACCTTCAATTCAACCTTCTCTCCTGCAGCGAGGGTTTCGTTCACTCACATTCGTCTTCTTTTCAAGAACCTTTTTGAACTTCTCTAGGCCGGTTCGCGAGCTCTCACTAGCATCACCCTCCCTTTCCGCGGCCAACCTGAACAAAAGAATGTCGGATACAACAGGCGAGTGATGGTTGTCTAGTATTCTCGAACTGTACTTGTTTGGTATTTGGTGACTCAGTTTAGACGACCAAGGGCCAGTTTAGCGCCGTCTTTCTCACACCCGTGCAAGTTTCACGCTGATTTCTAGCTCTGAACGCGAACGTCTACTTTTGAGCCTGATCTTTTAGCTGCAGGCGTGATCGTTCTATCGTTGAAGTTGTAAACTTCGATGCTGTTGTCGTACTCTTCTTTTTTCGTTGCCATCGACTGTGACGAATTTTCTTTTTTTAATACTGCGTGTGCGGCTATGTCCTTGCCATTATAGCGTCAAGTTGCTTGATTCCCTCCTCATCGTGTACTTCTATTTGGTTTATTATATTTGATTACATTTTTCGTGTTTGCAGGATTGGGAGCCAATAGTGCCATTGTTGAGACTGCACCCGTCGAGAACAGCCATCTCGCGTCACCTCCACGCTCAAGCGCTCACGATGGCGCTGATGTCGCCACGACGACCGCGAGCGAACCGAGTGGTAGTACCAAGCAGCCGGAAGGCGAGGCGATGTGTGACGAGGAGAGAAGGCTCGACGACGAACGTAGGCCTGAGGGTAGCTCACCTGCTTCTGCTGCTGCTGCTGCTTCGCCATCTGAAACCACCGCCGTAGTTGACGGTAGCGCCGTGATTGACGCTGCTGAAGTCATAGCTGCTCCTGGTGACAGGCCGGCTACGGATGCCGAGGGTGGAGGTGTGGTAGCAGAAGCCATGGAGACGGAAAGAACGGAAACGGAGAAGACGGAGACGAAACGGATGGTAACGGATACGAAACAGATGGAGACGGAAAGTGTCTCTGCTTCGCCTACTCCTGTTAAAGCCGCGGCTGAGAATCCCTCCTCGACTGCTCCGACTGCTGACGCCAACCACGCTGTCAAGGACGCGACGGATCGAAACACTTCCGCTGTAGTAGAGGGAGAGGCGAAAGCAAAGGGGGGTGAAGCGGAGAGAGGAGAGGAGCGAGCAGCGGGCATAGCTTCCTTCACCAAGTCCGATCCTCCCATTACCTCGGGAACACCTACAGTAAACTTGCAAGCACCCATGGACTCTTCGCCGGCTGTGGCAGACTCGGTCCCTTCGCAGCCCGTGGAACCACCGCAACTGGCAGAGCAGTCGCTGCCACAGCCGCCGCAGCCGTCACAGGTGACGGAGTCGAGTCAGAAGTTGCCGGTGGAACCGTCGCAACCGGTAGAGCCGTCGCAACCGGTAGTGCCGTCGCAATTGGTAGTGCCGCCGCAGCCTCTCGAAGCGCAACAGGCGGAGACCCCACAGGCGGGCCCTCCGCAGGCGGAACCGCCGCAGGCGGAGCCCATGCAACAAGATTCTGCGCTCCCTGCGGCTCCTGCAGGCAGTGCGGAGCAATCTGCGCAGCAGTCCGCGGAGCTACCCGCGCAGCCAGGTGGGGAAAGCGCAGGGGCAGGAATGGCGGAAGGGGAAGCCGCAGGCGCAGGAATCGCCGATGCGGAAATGGTTGGGGGGGACGGGGGAACGCAGGCGATGGGGAAAGCGGGAGCGGGTGACGATATGCGTGTGAGTGAAGCGGGCGGAGCGGATGGTGGTGTGATGAGCACGGAGGGTGCAGCACCCGCAGCACCTGCAGTGGCAGCGGCAACAACACCACCAGCTGCAGCAGCGGCAGTGGCAACACCAGCAACAGCAGCTGCAGCAGCGGCAGCACCAGCAGCAGCAGCGGAAGCGGCAGCTGCAGCGGCGGCGGAAACAACGCCAGGGCTAGGCGCGCCAGCATCAGCGGATCAGATGGGCCTTCCGCCAGGGGCGCATATTCCCGCGGATGGGGGCTTTTCCGCGCACGTAGCTCCGCCTGAAACTATGGGCATGGGGGTACATGGGCATGGGCATGGGCATGCATACATGGACGTTGGGAACGAGCATATGGAGCATAGTAGTGGACAGATGGAATATCAGCAGTTGCAGCAGCAGCAGAACCAGCAGCAGCAGCAGCAACAACAAATGCAGCAGCAACAGCATAACCAGCAGCAACAGCATAACCAGCAGCAGCAACAACAACAGCAACACATGCTACCACATCCCTATCCCCAACCCCACATGGATCCATCCATGCACATGCACCCCCACATGCACATGCAGCACCAGCAACAGCATCAGCATGAACACATGCAAGCAGCAGCAGCAGCCGCGCAGATGCAGGCGCAGGGCGCGCACATGCCCCCCCCGCAGGCGCACATGGGCGCCCCGCAGCCCCACATGTTCCCCCCGCAGGCGCACATGGGCGCTCCTAACGCGCACATGCCCCCCCCAGGGCACATGGCCTCCGCGCAGGCGCTCATTCCCCCCCCAGGGCACATGGGCGCACCGGGACACATGCCCCAAGGGGCGGACGTTGTGGGAATGACCGTAACAGAAGGCATCCCCATGACCATGCATCCCATGCACCATCCCATGCACCACACCATGCCCCATGGCATGCCACATGGCATGCCCAATGCCATGCCCCATGCCATGCAGCACGGCATGCCTCCAGGCTCGGTCCTCCCCTCCCAACTCAACCAGCAAGTCTCAGTTCTCCATCCCACGCCTGTCCACCTCTCTCCCACATCAATGGCTATGGGTTCCTCGGCGAAATCCGAAGGCGCGATCTCAGCCGTCCCTTCCCTGGACCAGCCGCTGGTGCTCAGCCGAGCCTCAGCCTTGGCGGCGCTCGGAGCTGACCCCGAGGCTTGGAGCCGCATGTCGGCGGTTCGGCGGCGGGTGGCGGTGACAGGGCAGGTGAAGAAGGAGATTTGCGAGCTGAAGCTGCAGCTGGGGGACGTGTCTCAAGACGAGATGGTTGAGCAGGTGAGGGGAAGGGAGGGTGCAGCAGGTGAGGGGAAGGGAGGGTGCAGCAGGTGAGGGGAAGGGAGGGTGCAGCAGGTGAGGGGAAGGGAGGGTGCAGCAGGTGTGTTGATTTGGTGAACAAGCAACCACCCTAAAATGTTTTCGTGAACAGCAAAGCTGCTGCTTTGTACAAATGAGATACCGAAGGCAATTTGCCAGATAGAGGTTTCTTATCTCTCTTATCCGTCACACCCCCTCCCGATCCCCTCTCGTTCCCCCAATTGTGCGTCATGCAGGTGTACAGGCGGTATGGAGTGAGGCTCAGTCGCACAACGGTCTCCAAGATTCTCAAGGACGCGCCCAGGTGGCTCAGAGTGTCGGGCGCAGCAGCCAAGCAGAAGCGGTGCCGCATGGCCAAGTTCCCCCAGATGGAAGCGGCTCTAGCGCACTGGTACCGACAGGTGGGTGCTGTTGGTGCGGGCATGGTAATGATCTTGTGAATCTGCTAGTAAAGGAGATGCAACACTGCAAAGGGTCTCGGGCGCAGCAGCCAAGCAGAAGCGGTGCCGCATGGCCAAGTTCCCCCAGATGGAAGCTGCTTTGGCGCACTGGTACCGACAGGTGCGTGGGTGCAGTTGGTGCATGCGTGTTAGTGATTTCATGAATCTGCTATCACAGGGGATGAAACAGCTCAGTGCATGCCAACATCAGCGATGTCATATTAGTGGACAAGGCCAGGCATCTCCCAGTGGAACTGACACTGTCCCTCCCATCCGCTTCCCCTTCCCCCTCGTCCCCTGACTCAAACACCCCCCATCCGCTTCCCCTTTCCTCCTCCAGGTGAGTTCAATGCACGCCAACATCAGAGATGCCATGATGTGGACAAGGCCAGGCAGCTCTTGGTGGAGCTGAGGTGATTATGTCTCCCATCCCCCCCGTTCCCTCTTTTCCCTTGTCCCTTTCCTCCTCCTGCAACAGGTGAGTTCAATGCACGCCAACATCAGTGATGCCATGATAGTGGACAAGGCCAGACAGCTCTCAGTGGAGCTGAGTATCCTCCCGGACGAGTTCAAGGTGTCGGACGGCTGGCTCTACCGCTTCAAGCGCCGCCATGAGCTGCCCACTGCTCGCAAGCGAGGTGAGTTTTGTGGGGGATAGCTGGCTCTGGGGAAAGTATGATAGGTAGAGAGGGGAGCATCCTGCCGGACGAGTTCAAGGTGTCGGACGGGTGGCTCTACCGCTTCAAGCGCCGCCACGAGCTGCCCACTGCTCGCAAGCGAGGTATGCTCTGAGTTAGTTAATCCAGAAGAAACTAAGAGGTAGAGAGTGGAGCAACTTGTTGGACGAGTTGAAGTTGTCAATAGGCTTCTCATTTTTCATTGTAGCAATCATTAACTTAACATTTAGTTAGGTTGAAGCATTCCTCCTGCCCCTTCAACCTCAGGTTCTCTAACCTCAGGTTCTCCCTCGTTTCTTGCTCGCTCATTTTTCCTTCTTTGCCCTGATTGCTTCCCCTCTTGCCCACACGTTCAGCCCTCCCTGGGACTAAACCTGAAGACCAGATGGGTGAACACGGGGGAGCACTTACCTCTTCCCAGCAAGACTCACCAACCGGGGGCATGCATAGCAGCATGGGTCCGTACGGTACCATGCTACCCTATGGCGACCCTTCCCACATGCACTCAGCAGCCATGGCTGGAGGAGCAGCAGGAGGAAGCAGCAGTCAGCACCCGATGCTTCCACACCAGCATCACATGATCCCGCATGACCCATCTGCCTTGGGTGCTGCTGCTGGCTCGGCTGCTGGGACTGCTGGAGCTGTTATGGGAGGGTCCCTTGGCATGCCGGGTATGGCAGGAGGTTCGCTACAGGGATTGCAAGGCAGCCGTGGAATGGGGTCTGGTGGTGGAGGGCTTGAAGCAGGGGAGGGGATGGAGGATGTGATGGAAGGGAGTGATTCGTATGGAGAGTCGGAGGAGGAGGAAGATGAAGGGATGGAGGGAGGCAGTGGAGGGGAGTGTGGGTTTGGGATGGGTGGTGGCAGATGGTCGGCTGGAGGGAGTGGGATGGGGAAGAGGATGCAGATGGCAATGGCATCGGCAATGAGTGGGTTGAGTCCTATTGATATGGAGAGGTACTCTCAAGTGAAGTCTCTGTTTGCTGGAGCTCTGAGGAAACTAGAGTCATACCCTCGGCTGTGAATGCTGTAGGCAAGGGGAATAGTTGATTGGTTTAGATAATGTTTTGTGAAACCTGATTTGCTGCCTTCCAGACAATATAACTAATTGAGATCTATATACGTCTAAAGTTGCACAACTGAAGTTTTTCCCAATCTATTTCCAAATACCAGTAGCTGCCAGATTGTGTTAACGTTTGATCAGGGATGATCTCCTGAATCCGTATGCATCTGTCACACTGTTTTCAACTGTCAACTCCCTTCCCAACTGGCGAAAGTCCTTCAGCCCATGCTGTGTGACGCTTGGACATGACCGGACCTTCAATATCTTCAGTCCTGTGGCCTCAGCCGCCAGATGCTTCAAAACATCATCAGTCACCTTTGTGTGGCTGAGATCAAGCGACTCGAGGCGATCAATTACTTCTCCATCCAGTTTCTGGAGCCAAGCTCCTGTGACATTTGACGATGACTTTAACATGACATGCTTCAGAGGCAGTTCAACAAGTTGAAGTAGCCCAGCGTCTGAGAGCTTCACCAAGTGTCCAGCTTCCAACTTCTCCAAGCGCTTACAGCTGCTGAGGTGCACAAAGGCAGCATCTGTCAAGCCATCACATGAGGTGACATTGAGGGATTTGAGGCTTCCAGAGAGATGCTGACTCAAGATCCGAATGCCTGCCTCTTTGACGCTGGTGGAGGATAGTCCCAAGTGCTCCAGCTTGCAGAGACCAGGGAGCATATTGGAGAGCGTAATGCTGTTGATGTTTGTGCAGTTGCTTAGCTCCAGTGACGTGAGGCTCGAGAGTTTGCCAATAGAAACTGCACCCTCGTAACTGATTGCGTGGCCTGAAATGGATAGACTGGATAGAGCAGGGAGACGGCCAGCACGACATAGCGTTGATCCAGTGAAAACCGAGGAAGATGGGTGAGCGAACTGGGTGCCAGTGATAACAATGGAGGTAATGGAAGATAGACGTTCGGGATAAGCCAAAGGGAGGGCCTCGACCACTTCCTCCACATTCTTGTCGTTAACCCGTGACTTGAAATGGATGCTGTAGATGCCGCTGTGTTCGTCATGAATATTTGCATGCTTGTTGACTGTTGCTCGAGCTCGTGAGCTTGGGGTAGCACTAGGGCTCTCCAGAGGGCTGCCAAAGGCGCTTGAAGCATTAGGGCTGTCAACTTTCTGCAACGAAAAAAACTGATAATGGTAAGAAATACAAACTTGGGGTTTGGAAGGCTTGCATGATTCAGGGTGACACGCATGCAAACTGACTGGCCTTACCTGCTGCTGGCTGTTTGGTGTGCATGAATCTTCTCTTCTCCGTTTGTATCTCTGGCCTTCCGTGTCTTGGCCTTGGCGCAACTCATCCTTGACAGTAGTTATCACCTTTTCCACCATTACTCGCACGACCTGTTGCATAGCTGACTGAAGTTCAAGATCATTGTTCTCATTCTGGGTTTTCTCCTCGGATTTCGGGTCTGACTGCCGGTCCTCAGGAGCTCCATGTCCATGGCTGACGGATGCAAGTTCATCCTTCAACCTTCGGATTCTATCTTCATAATACTTCCGATCTTCCTTTCCCTTCTCTTCCAGCTGCTTCAGTAGTTCCTGCGTCTGCTTTAGTTGTTCCTGCGTCTTTGAGTTATCCCCTTCCAGCATCTTTACCCGCGCTCGAGTTGCCTCCAACTCCTTTTCAAGAGTATCCAATCGGTTCAGAAAAGATCCTGACCCAACAGCTTCCTGACGCACGAGCTGCTCAGGAACGTCAGGCCTTGATGATAATCTCGTTGGTATCTTGCTGGCAGCCTGTGCACGTGTCCTGGGAAGCGCCTTATCCTCGATTGCATTGTTTTCAGCAATGCCTTCTTTTCTTGGAACTGTCCGGTTGCGCAAACTAGTAGTTGACTTGGTCGGTGATGGTTCGTCAGGCACATTGACGCCAGAATCTGCGAGCGCCTTCCTTGATCGGGCCTTAGGAGGCATAGTTTCCACGACGTGAAGCAATATCCGAGTTGTGACGATCTTAGTTAGATGAGCTGCGTCAGCGGAACCTGCAAGAAATGCTTTCTGAGTTAAGATTCAGGTAAGAAACGACGTCCTTGAAGCAAGAAAAGGCAGAACCTGCTCCTTAGAAGATTGTATGAGAAAAAATTACTTGATAAATGTGGGAATTATGAATATGTTGCTTGTTCAAGGAAGACTGGTGCGAAGAGATGTGTCTTCGCAAAGACAATCCTGTTTCGCGAAGGCCTGATTGGAAATCGGGGTGGCAAACTTCGGCCAATCAGCAATTGGCAAATTGGGTACCTCAGGTAATGACGACCTGAAATAAACCTTGATTATCCTAGACCATCGTTTCAACCATTAGCGGAAATATAGCGAAGACGTTCTAAACGTACGGTTTCTGCCAGTGCTGGTGCTGGTGAATGACAAGTTCTCGAAGAATTCCAACAAGGACCTGACGTGACACATGTGTGCGAGCCCTCTGACGTGGCGCACTCGATGTCAGCGCTGTTCTATTTTCATGCAGCCTGCATGGAGATTGCGCTGTTCTCTAAAACTGAGCGAACCGATCTTCAGCGGAACACAGCTCATTGAACCTCACATTTGTCTCACAGAGCAGCCCCTCCAATACCACCACTTCCCTCCCGCCGCCACACCTCACCCCTCGACCCCCCCGAGTCCCGACCGACCCATCCCCTCCACCATCCCGCCGCCACCGCACCCGCCGCCACACCCGCCGCCACACTTGCCGCCACACCCGCCGCCGCACCGTCCGACGCACAGCGGACCGTTAGCCGGACCTATATCCCAGTCTTCGGTTTATTTCCTGGGCGCGCCTTTCGCCGTGCAGAACGCTTTTCGGTGATCGCTGTCATACGCCGCGTTTGAGCGTCGTGTTTCAAACACAATGTTCTCTGGTGATCGCTGACGTGCGCGCTGCGCCTTATTCCAGCTTCCGACGCTGCCTTTAACGAACGTCAACGTTAGCGGATTCGGTGCAAAGCGATGGCGGCGATTATAACGGAGCACACGGTAGCGGATCTCGTGCGGAGCAAGCTCGGCCTCGTCGAATTCCCTGAGTCCGCGACTGTCGGCGGTAAGGCGTCAGACTATCAGGACTCTCGTTATTTTTCCGCGGCTACGTTTTTAGTAGGCGACTGCTTAGGCGACTATTTAGGCAATTGTCTAAGCGAGGCGACTTTCGACAGCTTAACAGCCAAGCCATGACATCCAAGCCTTGACATCCAAGCCTTGATATCCAAGCCTTGATATCCAAGCCTTGACATCTAAACGTTAATATATAAGCCTTGATATTCAAGACTTAGTATCCAAGCCTTGATATCCAGGCGTCAAACAATGAGCGTCAGCCGTCAAACATCAACCCAAGCGTCAACAGAGAGACGACTTTCGTGAAGCGTCAGGCGTCGGGCCGTCAGGCGTCAAAATCAGGGCTCACTGACCCGTCAGATGACTTTTCAGTGGACTTAAAAGTCAAAGGCTGTCAGGCGTCAAAACGAGGGCTCACTGGCCGGTCAAACCTCCTCACATCCGTTCTTTGTTCCCCTCCCCTTCCCCCCCACTCCACCAACCTTTTCCGTTGGCGTTTGTGCTGATTGTGCTTTTACCGAAACGTGGGTGTACAGAGGCAATCGAAGCTCTGGTGCGAGAGGACCTGGTAGCAGCTCCCGTCTACTCCACCGCACCCCATGCTGCTGCGGTATGCCTCTCTCTCTTCTTCTCTCGCTTTTTAGAATTCTCAAAAGCGACTCAGAGACAATCGAAGCTCTGGTGCGAGAGGACCTCGTAGCAGCTCCCGTTTACTCGACTGCTCCCCACTCTGCTGCAGTATGTGTTATCCTCTCTTTTGCTCGCCGCGTAGACGGCAACCTGGTAGCAGCTTCCGTGTGCTCTTCCTCCCCCCTCCTCCTCCCTGTTCCCCCCTCACTGCTGTGGTATGCAACTCTCCTTTTCCTCGCATATAGGACGGCCTGGTAGCAGCTCCCGTTTACTCGCCCCCCCTTCTCCCCCACTCGCCCCCCTCCTTCTCCCTGCTTAAACGACAACTTGGTAGCAGCTCCCACGTACTCTTTCCCCCGCTTTTCTCCCCAACCTGCTCTTTCTTCCTGCTGTGGTATGCATCCCCCTTCCTATATTCCTCCTCCCCCGCTGCCTTCCCTCCCCTTCCCCATTTTCCTCTTCCCCCGCTGCCCCATCCCCCTTACCTCCTCCCCTAGTGCAGCGACATACTTCCCCCGCTCCCACGCGCGCAGTTTCCAGCATGGCCTGGCTGCTTCCCCCGTTTCGTCCTTATTTAGGCAGCATGGTCCCCCCTATCGAACCCGTTTAGTCCTTCCTGTTTTCCCCGCTAGGTGGTACATGCTTTTGATACAGTCCCAAGATTAGGTTCCTTATTTCTTCCTTCTCATTCCCCCATCCTTCCGCTCTCCCCTCTTCCCTTTCCTATCAGGCTCTCGGCTCCCTGGCTCGGTCCATCCTCTCCCTGCCATATAACTCTCCTCCCCTCCCGCCTCTCCTCCTGTTTCCCACGTTTCTTCCTTCTCATTCCCCTGTCCTTCCCCTCTCCCATATGCCCTTTCCCATCAGGCGCTCGGCTCCCTGGCTCGCACCATTCTCTCCCTGCCATACGACTCTGACGCGCTCTCGCTTACTGCAGCAGCTAATAAGGCGTACATTGGGACTGTCACCATGGTAGACCTGCTGCTGCACGTGGCGCAGGGGGAGGGGGGGGGGAGAGGGGGAGGGGAAGGGAGAGGGGGCGGGGGAAGGGGAGGGTGAGGGGGAGGGGGAGGAGGAGGGGGAGGAGGAGCAGGAATGGGACAAGGAGACGGGGAGGGAGAGGGGAAGGCGGGAGGGTGGCATGTGTGAGTTGGAGACGCCAGTGGGGCAGCTGTTGAGGGCGAGCGAGGAAGGGCTGTCGCTGCTGCTCACTGACTTGAATGCACCGTAAGCTGCCTTAATTGCCCTGTAAACCACCTCCAGGTGCATCGTAGGCTGTTGTTCCTCTCTTCGTCGTGTGCTTCTTAGGTCGCATGCTAGTTGAGCAGCTGGTGCGGGCGAGCGAGGAAGGGTTGTCGCTGCTGCTCACTGACTTGAACGCACCACCGTAAGCTGCTTCAAGTGCTCTGTAAACCACCTCCTGGTGTGTCGTAAGCTGCAACTCCTCTTATTCGTGTGCTTCTTAGGTCGCATGCTAGTGGGGCAGCTGGTGCGGGCGAGCGAGGAAGGGTTGTCGCTGCTGCTCACTGACTTGAACGCACCGTAAGCTGCTCTTCCTCTTATTTGTTTGCTTCCAAGGTCGCACTCTAGTGGGGTTCTTCCAAACCCACCGTAAGCTGCCATTCCTCTTATTTGTGTGCTTCCAAGGTTGCACTCTTGTAGGGTTTCTCCAAACCCACTAGTGGGGCGCTTCGAGCTTGTCAAATTTTCCTTTTACTGTCTCTCCTTCCCTTCCCGAATCCTCCCCTCCACATACCAGTATCAACACCACCATGCGTCCCATGGCGCAGGGAGTGCAGCACCCAATCGTCCTGATCCACACCTTTTTTTTTTTACCAATCTTCATGTGTATTCCCTACTCTGTCTTCCTTTTTCTTCCCAAATCCTACTCCTTCCCCCCCCCCTCTCCCCGTTTCCCCCCTCTCCCAGAATCCACACCATCATGCGTCCCATGGCGCATGGAGTGCAGCGCCTGATCGTTCCTATTCACACCCACCCCCTCCCTCCTTTCTGTGTCTTCCCTTTCACTGTCTCCCCTCCTCCCCCTTTTCACCTCTCCCAGTATCACCACCATCATGCGTCCCATGGCACAGGGAGTGCAGCGGCTGATCGTCCCCATCCACACCTTGTCTTTCCCTCATCCCCCTCTCCCCCTATCTCCCCCATCCAGCATCAACACCATCATGCGACCCATGGCGCAGGGAGTGCAGCGGCTGATCGTCCCCATCCACACCCGCCCCTCCTCCGTCCCCTCTGCCTCCTCTCCGCAAGACGACGCACCGGTAGCAGCACCACTCCCGTCTCACTCCCTTTCCTCCCACTCTCCGTCCACAAACATCCACTGTGCGTCTCCACACTCTCCATCCTTCCAACCCCCACACTCCTCCTCGTGTCTCACTCCCTCTCCCTCCTCTCCTCCCTCCTCCTCCCTGTCCCACACCTCTGCTCCTCCCTCTCAGTCATCCCTCTCCTCTCTCCATTCTCTCACTTCAAACTCTTCCTCCCTCTTCTCTCACCCCTCCTTCACCTCCCACTCCCTCACTCCCTCCACCACCACCACCACACTCGCCACCTCCCCTCACTCTCTCTCCTCCACCCCCTCTCAGCTCCCTCACAAACCCCTTGCTGCTGGCGTCGCCTCTCTCTCGTTAGAGCACCTGCAAGGGGTTCCGGATGCGATTCCTTATAAGCAGCCTCAATATACGCAACAAGCAGGGAGCACTGTACAGCTTTCGGAGTGCAACACACACTACTCGTGCGCGTTTCCAAGTGATGATGAGGAGGAGACAGAGGAGGGGGAGAAGAAGGGCGAGGGGGAGGGGGAGAGGAAGAGTGAGAGCGAAGTGGAGAGGGAGGGGAAGAGGGAGGGGAAGAGAGAGGGGAAGAGGGAGGGGAAGAGGGAGGGGGAGAGGGAGGGGGAGAGGGAGGGGGAGAGGGAGGGGGAGAGGGAGGGGGAAGGGAGGAAAACCAGTGGCACGGGTTCTACCCTCACTCCTTCCACCTATGCGACCACTCCAACTGATTCCAACGTCTCTCTTGCCATTCCTACCATCCTTCCCACCACTCCCGCTAACGCCCTCTCGTCCAACCATTCCATTACCACCGCTTTCCACCGCGCCTCCCCCTCCCCCAGCGTCCGCTGCCCGGGGGGCAGCTGCACGCCCTCCCGAAAGTTTTTCTGCCCTCATTTCTGCGTGCTGACTCAGACTGACGTGGCGAGGTGGCTGCTTGACAGAGCGCCTCAGTTGGAGCCTGTACCCTCTAAAAGCCTCCTCGATTTAGGGCTCGTTCACTCCCGGATTGTCACAGTAAAGTGCTCTGACAACGCGTATGAGGCTCTGCAGCTCTTGCAGTCGTCTGCTGGTGAGTTAGTCAGCGTGAGGCTATATAAGTCTGATCTGTGTGTGTTTGAGAATACATATGCGTATGCATATGTGCCGTTTCTGTGTATGCATATGTGCCGTTTCTGTGTATGCATATGTTCAGTTTCTGTGTATGCATATGTGCAGTTTCTGTGTATGCATATGTTCAGTTTCTGTGTATGCATATGTTCAGTTTCTGTGTATGCATATGTGCCTTTTCTGTGTATGCATATGTGCCGTTTCTGTGTATGCATATGTGCCGTTTCTGTGTATGCATATGTGCAGTTTCTGTGTATGCATATGTGCCGTTTCTGTGTATGCATATGTGCCGTTTCTGTGTATGCATATGTGCCGTTTCTGTGTATGAATATGTGCCGTTTCTGTGTATGCATATGTGCCGTTTCTGTGTATGCATATGTGCCGTTCCTGTGTATGCATATGTGCCGTTTCTGTGTATGCATATGTGCCGTTTCTGTGTGTGCATATGTGCCGTTTCTGTGTATGCATATGTGCCGTTTCTGTGTATGCATATGTGCCGTTTCTGTGTATGCATATGTGCCGTTTCTGTGTATGCATATGTGCCGTTTCTGTGTATGCATATGTGCCGTTTCTGTGTATGCATATGTGCCGTTTCTGTGTATGCATATGTGCCGTTTCTGTGTATGCATATGTGCCGTTTCTGTGTATGCATATGTGCCGTTTCTGTGTATGAATATGTTCCGTTTCTGTGTATGCATATGTGCCATTTCTGTGTATGCATATGTGCCGTTTGATAATCTTGTCGCACTCCCCCCCGTTTGTGTCCTCTGTCTTCTTCTTCCATCATCCCCCCTGTGTTTCCACGTCATCCACCCTCGCTTCACCTGCCTTACCCCTCCCCTCCCTTACCCCTCTTTCCTTGCTTTGTCCCACAGCCCTCACGTCCTAAGGAGTTGTCAATGCATTGGGAGTGGTCTACCCTTTCCCTGAACTCACCACCCCCTCTTCCTCCTCTCCCCTCTCTATCCCCTCCTCTCCCCGTCCCACTGCCCTTCCCTTCCCAGGGGATGTCAATGCATTGGCAGTGGTCGACCCATTCGCTGACCGCACCACCCCCTCTTCCTCCAAGTCAACCCAGTCAACTCACGGCTCGTCAGCTGCCAATCCTGCCAGTGCTGCCGCCTCTTTCCCTCCTGGCAAGCTGGTGGGGCAGCTGTCGAGTGTGGATCTGCGCGGCTGCACTGCGCAGTTCGCCGCCCGGAATCTGCGCGGCATGACGGTGCAGGATCTGCTGCTGGCAGTGCCGGCCACTGAGAGGTACTGGAAAAGCAGGGAGAGGGGCGAGCAGCTGAAACTGGTGCAGCAGAAGCAGGAGCAGCAGGAGCTGCAGGAGCAGCAGCAACAGCAAGTGAAGGTTGAAGCTAATTCCGAAATTGCTGGTGCTGCTTCTGCTGCGTCGTCATCTGCTGCTGCTTCTCCATCCATTAAGAAAGGCCGTATGAGGCCGGTGAGCAAGTGCAAGCCGAGTAGCAATCTCTGTGCAGCTATGGCGCAGGCATTGGCTCACAGGAACCACCGCGTGTGGGTGGTGGATGACCATGGGTGCCCGACTGGCGGGGTTACATTCAGCGATATGATTTCGGCGTTTTTGGTGGATCCTAGAGTGCATGCGATGGGTGCATGAACAAGGAGAGGCTGGTTGCGGCCGGTGAGCAAGGGCAAGCCAAGCAGCAATTTTTGTGCAGCCATGGCACATGCACTGGCTTAGGGGAACCATGTGTGTGGGTGGTGGATCACCATGGGTGCCTGACTGGCGTTGTAACGTTCAGTGATATGTGCTTGGCGTTTTTTTGTGGATCCCAGAGGGCATGCCATGGGTGTGTGAGCAAGGAGACAGCTAGGAATAATGGTTTCGAGTAACGTGAAGACGTGGCAAGGGGTTTGTCTTGCTGTGCTGCTGTGCTTTTCCTGGCTTGTGTATATTGCCATTTTGATTACGGATGACTACAACATGCAAGATCCACCAAAAGTTTTGTAAATGAGCTAGTACACACACGTTTACACATGGCGAAGCAGTTTATAAGCCCGTATGGCACAGGTCGGGTTTTGTCCTGAATCCCTGGAATTTGGAGGAACCCCACTCGCTCGATGCTCTAGACACGGGGAATCACATTGCCCAATAGGCGCTGGTTGACGACGTCAGCATGGGCCATCCAGCACAGCCAACATTCCTAGTCAGCGTTGTAGGGCGCAGCAACATCCATCCAAGTTCTATCAGCAGTGCGCCTAGCTGGCTGATCAAGGAAATCCCAATTCTGGTTTCCTCTCAATGATTTCTGATTTCTGTGTGAACTGGAATTTCCGGAGCCATTTTCAGGGAAGCTAGTTGTTTACGCACGAGTCCAGGCGCTACGCCTGCTCCGAATTCCACGCATATTACTCCTTCGCGTGTGACAGGATTTGCAGTGCTGCATTGGACTTGCAGCGTCGCTAACGCGCTTCCTTGGAACCATGGCCGCCACATCGACCTCTCAGCTGTACGTTTCTGCGCATTAGAACGGGAGTGCCTCTTCGTATGTCACAATATATCGTTAATGTTCGCTCGACGGAATGTTTACGATGCAAAATTGCTCGGATGGAATGTAGCGACAACGCGTCCAACGGCTGCGTCGCTAGTACAAGATTTATCGTGTGGCATTTCCATTTCTGTGCTCCCTGTCTCGCCCTCGTCCAATCAGCATGCAGAGCCACGTCGGCACCATCGCGCAATCATCCCGATCACCAGTGACGGCGACCAGCGCGAAATTCGCCGTGTCCTTCGCAGGCTCCGAGCTCCACGGCGCTGCCTGCCGAACCCTCACGACCCAATCCGTCTCCTGCAATGCTTCGCAGAGGCAGGCCGTGCAGCCCAGGGCGTCAGGTAAGCGACGCTGATAGTCAATGATAGTCAACCCGCCGTGTCCTTCGCAGGCTCCGAGCTCCACGGCGCTGCCTGCCGAACCCTCACGACCCAATCCGTCTCCTGCAATGCTTCGCAGAGGCGGGCCGTGCAGCCCAGGGCGTCAGGTAAGCGACGCTGATATGTGTGCCTTCCAACTGATTTCCTGAAGTCAACCCAGACCCGACAATGCCTCTTGCAATGCCTCGCAGGTGTTGATGTGCCTTGCTTCTTCCACAACGCAAAAAATACTTGCTGCAATGTGTCTAGCGCACGAGGTACAGGAAACTTATGAATTCCAACATTCACCTTGGTCGGTCCGTGATAGACACTAGCGTGGGCGGCCGTGGAAAATCCATTCTGCGTCCCCCGCGTGTGCCTGACTCCTGGATCAGGGACTTTCCTTATGGTATCACAACGTATCCCCTCCATCCCTTTTCCCCTTCCAGCGGACGAGCCCCTGCTGGTGCGCGCCGCGCGCGGGGAGGCCATTCCGCGCCCGCCCGCCTGGATGATGCGCCAAGCGGGCCGCTACATGGCTGCGTACCAGAAGCTCTCCAAGAACCATCCCTCTTTCCGCGAACGTTCCGAGACGACGGATCTAATCGTCGAAATTACCCTGCAGCCGTGGCGCGCGTTCAAGCCCGACGGCGTGATCCTGTTCTCGGACATTCTGACGCCGTTGGATGCGATGGGTATTCCGTTCGAGATCGACGAGAACAAGGGCCCCATTATAGACAGCCCCATTAGGACGACGGAGGATCTCAAGGCGTTAACGCCGGTTCAGCTGGACAAGCTGCACTTCGTTGATGAGTCGCTGAGGCAGATTCGGAAAGAGGTGCGTGGGAGGGAACGTTGAGGGGGAACTGGGGGAGGGGAGGGTAGCGTCGGAAGGGGAGATAGCGTCGGAAGGGGAGATAGCGTCGGGAGTTGTCGGTAGGATGGGGGAGGGGAAGGAAGAGCGGTAGGGTGGGGACGGGGGCGGGTAGTGTGGGAAGGGGGAGGGGAGAGGGGGAGGGGAGAGGGGTAGGGTGGGGGCAGGGGAAAAGTTGCGAGGGTCTCAAGGCGGTGGTAGCCATGCAGCTGGAAAAGCTGCCCTCTGTATATGAGTCACTGCGGCAATTTGGGAAGCATATGCGTTGGTATATGAAAAAGCGGACAAGGGAGGGGAGAGGGGGAGATGGGGGCGGTGTGAGTGGGGGGAAACTACGTGAGGTCAACGCCATGAATCAGAGCGCGCCACACGTGCCTCTGTTCCATTCCTTCCCCTCCCCGCTGTCCCTCCTTCCCCTCTCCCCCCCTCCCCCCCTTCCCAGCCTCCCCCCTTCCCCCGTTCCCCCAACCCTTCTTCCCCGCGCCTGACGTGCCTTCGTTCCTTTCGCCTTCCCTCTTTCCCCTTCCTCCTGCCCCCTCTTCTGGCAGATCGAGGGCACGGCCGCTCTCCTGGGCTTTGTGGGGGCGCCGTGGACGCTGGCGACGTACTGTGTGGAGGGCGGCACCACGCGTACGTACACCAAGATCAAGGGCATGATCCACAGCGCGCCGGACGTGCTGCGCGCGATCCTGCAGCACCTGGCCAATGAGATCGCAACATATGCCGCGTTCCAAGTGGACGCCGGCGCGCAGTGCATCCAGGTCTTTGACTCGTGGGGCGGCCAGCTGCCGCCCGACCAGTGGGACGAATGGGCCAAGCCGTACATCATCCAGGTGAGAAAGAGCTCGACTGCTGTGCTCTATGAGGTAAACCAGTGCCGTTCTTAGAGCTGCTATCTCCGACCAGTGGGTCGAGTGGGCCAAGCCACATTCAGGTGAGCGCTTAACTGGTCTTCTGTGGGAGGAATATCCGTGCAGTGCTTGAAGCTGTCACCGACCAGTGAGACGAGTGGGCCAATCCATATGTATTCGAGGTGAGAGCCTAGCCCCGTTCAGTGTGGAGCAAAGGCGCCTATACCTACCATCAGGTCACCCAGTTGCAGTGCATCCAGGTGTTTGACTTGTGGGGCGGCCAGCTGCCGCCCGACCAGTGGGACGGCCAGCTGCCGCCCGACCAGTGGGACGAGTGGGCCAAGCCGTACATCATCCAGGTGAGCGCTCAAGCCCACTGTGCAGTTCACTATATGAGAAATATTGTGCCATTCGTAATGCTGCCGCCCGGCCCGTGGGACGAGTGGGTCGAGCCGTACATCATTCAGGTGAACTAGTGTGCTATGTGGGGCGAACCGTGCCGTGTGTGATTTCGCCGCCCGACCAGTGGGTCGAATGGGCCAAGCCGTACATCATTCTAGTGAGCCCTCAAGCCCACTGTGCAGTTCACTATATGAGAAATATTGTGCCATTCGTAATGCTGTCCCCCCTGACTTGTGGGACGAGTGGGCCAAGCCTTACATCATTCAGGTGAGCGCTCGACAGCTGTGCTATGTGCTATTTGTGCTCAAACTTCAGCACAAACTTGAGCACAAACACCCCCTTGAGAGTTCCTGGTGCACCCCTTGCTACACCCCCCAGGTCATTTCCCAGCTGAAGCAGAACCCACAGTCCCAGTCGTGCTGTACGCCAATGACAGCGGGGGTCTCATGGAGCGCATGGCCACCACTGGGGCTCACCCTTAGAACCCCTGTTGCATCCCTCCCTTATCATCGTCCCCCATTCCCCAGGTTATCTCCCAGCTTAAGGCAAAGCACCCCATGGTGCCTATCTGCTCTATGCCAATGGCAGCGGGGGTCTCATGGAGCGCATGGCCACCACTGGGTTTCATTCTTTGAACGTCCCTGTGCATCCTTCCTTCCCTTCACTGCATCCCCCAGGTTATCTCCCAGCTGAAGGCGAAGCACCCCACGGTGCCAGTCGTGCTGTACGCCAATGGCAGCGGGGGTCTCATGGAGCGCATGGCCACCACTGGGGCTGACGTCATCGGTGTTGACTGGACCATCGACATGGCCGATGCACGGGCGAGGATCGATGGCGCTCTGAGGGCGAGCCCTGGGGGGAGTGAGAAGCCGAGGCTGTCGGTGCAGGGCAACGTGGACCCTGCCGTGCTGTTTGCTTCCAAGGATGCCGTTACTGACGCCATCCACCGGTGAGTAACTTGCTGTAACTAACTGGCATATAGCAAAGGTTTTCTGTGAGTGCTGTCGGTGCAGGGCAACGTGGACCCTGCTGTGCTGTTCGCCTCCAAGGATGCCGTTACTGATGCCATCCACCGGTGAGTGATTCGCTGTAACCACGAGTGATATACAGTGGGTGCTGTCGGTGCATAGCCACCACTGGGGCTGACGTCATCGAAGTGGACTGGACCATCGACATGGCTGATGCACGGGCGAGGATTAACGGCGCTCTGAGGGCGAGTTCCGGGGGGAGTGCGAAGCTGAGGCTGTCGGTGCAGGGGAACGTGGACCCTGCCGTGCTCTTCGCCTCCAAGGATGCTGTCACTGATGCCATCAATCGGTGAGTGATCTTGGGTGTTGTGTGATTGTCATTGGTGTTGACTGGACCATTGACATGGCCGATGCACGGGCACGGATCGACGGCGCTCTGGGGGCGAGGCCCGGAGGGAGTGCGAAGCCGAGGCTGTCGGTGCAGGGCAATGTGGACCCTGCTGTGCTGTTCGCCTCCAAGGACGCCGTCACTGATGCTATTCACCGGTGAGTGTGATTGCTATGGCATCACGAGCTGCATATTGTGAGTGCTGTCTGTGCAAGGGAATGTGGACCCAGCTGTGCTGTTGACCTCCAAGGATGCCACGACAGGTACAATCCATTGGTGGGAAACTTGCTGCAACAAATGTATACTGGAAGTGCATCTGTTTTTGCTGTCTTTCTTCCCACCCCTCGTACCCCCCATACCCTTGTTGTCATTAACTCAGTTCCTCACAGTGTGAGGGCAAGGTACCGGTAGGTCCACAGGGCCACGTTCTCAACCTGGGCCATGACGTGGTGGTGGGGACATGCTCTGTTCTTTATTCTACCGATAACGATTTGCCGTATTTCTTTCCACCCTTCATACCCCCCCTACCCTCGTTCTCATTCACTCTCTCCCACAGCTGTGTTGCCAAGGCGGGTCCGCGCGGCCACATTCTCAACCTGGGCCACGGCGTGTTGGTGGGGACACCAGAGGAGAGCGTCTTGCACTTCTTTGAAATGACTCGTGCTCTGAAATACGCCGAGGAGCCTGTTGTAGCAAAAGCTTAAGATTGAATGTTAATTAAAAAGCTATGGATTCACCAGTACCACTCCTGGATATGCTTCTGTCAATTTTGTTTTAGTTTTGGCTGGGCTAGTACCGTATTGTGTGCACCCTAATGACTATGCCCTGAAGCTTTTTAGAGAAATCCAATTGGTTCGTGTAGGAGATTGTGCATTGGACAAAGGCGTGTTTCTGGTCCATTCCATTCCAATCCAATCCAAGCCTTCAAATGAGCACCTGAGCAAAGAGCCCGTAATTGACAGGAAGTTAAAATGCAAAAAGAGGAGCTTACTTAAGTTGTTGTTTCACAAAATTAATGATGTATTGAGAGTTGTATTTTTTTCTCGTGAGGTAAATTTCTCTGAAAATCCTTGAGCTTATTTTGTTACCGAGGAAATTCACAGAGAGTACTTGCAACGAGTTATTCAACCCGACCCGACGGACGGAGATCTCGGAAGTTCCTTCAACCTGCCTGCGCAAATCTCACCTGTTTCTAACTGCCATTCGCACAGTTCCTCTTATAGATCTCTAGATACCTAGTTGCAACAGCCATATCCCGAGCTACTTTCACGAACCTCCTCGGCATAGCCACCATCACAAGATCGTAATTTGGTTTATTTTTTCAGATCTTTTTTAAATTTGGAGAATGGAGGCTGTTGAGTACGTCGTCAAGCCGGTGCAGGACTTCGCCAAGGACAGCATCAGACTAGTGAAGCGGTGTCATAAACCAGATCGGAAAGGTCCGTTCACGTGTTTTGCCCTGACATCGGATTAACTTCGCAATCCCCTTCCGCGCCGTCATTTCTCGCAATCGTGTCATTCCTCCCTCCACAGTTAGGTTCCTTGTGACCTACTTTGTTACGATTCGGCTATTCCTAACTGAGCGTCTTCGTTCAGCTTCCTTGCTCTTTATCAGGGCTCAAATTTCATCATTCTTATTTTCCTATGGTCTATGACGTGCAGAATTCACGAAAGTTGCATCCAGGACAGCCATTGGGTTCGTGGTCATGGGATTCATCGGCTTCTTTGTGAAACTAATTTTCATCCCCATCAACAACATTATCGTTGGATCGTAATCAAGGTATGACGGCATACCGTTTACAAACAATGGGGAAAACTCATTCGTTGTTCAAATATCCGTCGCCCTGCTCTCTCTCCATGTCCATGTGATCAAGGTACGACGGGATACCGTTCATAAGATTTTGGGAAACATCCGTCCCCCAGGACTGTCTGGGCTCACGCGAACGTTCCTTGCCTGAAGGGTCAAGTGCGTGTTGATGGGGCCAAGCTACTAATACCTGCAAGGGCAGAGCTAGTTTTATTTTCTTGTGCCTTCTGCAAGGGCCCATGTGCAAGGGCCCATAGTGTCTTCTGCAAGGGCCCATGTGCAGAGCTAGTTTTATTTTCTTGTGCCTTCGTGTCTGTCAGCTAATTCTTCTCCTTTCACCATTATTGCTTTCTCACCATAATCGTTCCATGCAGATCTTGGGTCGTCCATGGAGGATAGATAGGTCACAGGTTGTATCAAGCCTTCACGGATATCATCACATTGCAGTTGTGGTGATTGGGTAGTGCAACTACTATGTGTGTTAACGAGCTGATATTGTAGCTGATCACGTGGGTAGAACAAATGACATGACACTGGTCCACACCACCGTTGTTCAGAGCTAAAAAAAAAAATCAACCTTTCACTGGGTGTTTCCCCCAGTTGTGGCATCCTCCAGCTATTCCATGTCTTCAGCAGACTTCGGGGAGTAGGGAGGAATGGTTGAAAGAATGACCACTAAGGTCATGAAGAATACCCACTGGATGTCAGGAAACAACAGAAGTGCAAGAGGGGGTTTGATAAATATGGACAACGGCATGGAACAACCTTGAGGTAGTGGAACATCCGAGGAGAGTCAAAGAAGCAACACAAAGGAGTCAAAGAAGCAACAAAAAGAACATGACTCTATAATGGGCTATCTTGCCAATAGCCCGTAGCAAAATTGAAATGCAGATGAATGTATGACCGGATGGAAAAGCACCTGAGAGGGTAGAAGCATGTACCAGGATAGGGATGATGAAGAAGCCAAAGACTGGCCATAATGCTATCGCAAATCTGTGGAAGGGAGGTCACAAGGGAACAGATAAATGTGCCTCAGGAAAGCAAACTCCTTTCCCACCTCTCGCCCCACTAGATGCCTTGATGACAAGACTAGAATGAACCAGCATTGGAAATGGACAAAAAATATGAGAACTCCTTACGTACCAGTTTACATGAAATGTGGTTCACCACAAAGCAAGCGGCCAACTGACTGCAACAGTGCACACTAAAGCATCTTTGGCAGCCAGGCGTCAAAAGCTCCACCCCTCCTACTGGACTACAAATCCTAGATGGTATCGTGAAAGGGGCTCTTCAAAAGTAGAGGTAGTACTTACAGTATGAAGGACATGAAGCTAAGCAATGTTGTGGTTGCATTGGCTCCAGGAGCAGCAAGCTCAAAGTGACTGGTATTTTTTAGCACGAGGCGGATGAGGACAGTGAGGTAGAGCCAGACGGCCACGTTGACGATGATGCACACACACGCCACAAAGAATTGTTGCCTGAATTGTGGAGGATGGGGTGAATGGGAGTGGAGGGGAAGGAAAGTAGAGGACGTACATATTTGAGAACATTGTGATGGTAACCTGCTTGAAACCGGAAGGGTATGGACAGAAGGTGAAGGGGGTGGAGAAAATTGGAGAGGTTACAGGTTGAAGGATATCAGAGACTTAAAGTTCAGGAATAGTTAAGACAACAAAACGAGGGAACGAGACAGAGTGAGGAAACAATCTTTAGGTCAAGGGTTTGATTGTAATTCTTGCATTTACAGCACGTGTGTTTGTACAGACTACCAGGCATTTGGGTCGGGTTTATCAAATCGTGGTGACGGAATGGTAATCTTTTCAAGCCCGAAACATTCAGAGGCCGCTTTAGGATGCCCTGCCTGAAAGAACATGAATTCTTGACTCGTATCGGAGTACCTGGTCATACTGTCACAACGAACAAGGACGAGAAGGTGTCGGCTTACTTGTGCACGCGAGGGTCCTTGAGCACCGCCTGGAAGAAATGCCGCTTGCCGTCGCCGAATACTAGAATCGCGACGCAAGCAAGCAGCCATGCTGCCGACTCTAGTTTACTCCGTTTCCGCGGCGGCGTTGGCTTCATTTTCATGTCAAGAGCAATGTCGCCCGAACCAACCCCGTTCTCGTCCCGGTCGTCCTCATCGTTCACCGCCGTCGCGTTACTTGCGGGGTGAGCTGACGTGGTAGGTATGCTGTCCGCGTCATCTTCAGGAGTTTTTTCGCTCGTTCCTCGATGACGAGGCTGCGATCGCACTTCTTGCACGTACATTCTGGCAGAACGCAAAGAATTCTGGGGAAACGTGCCGATCCGACAATAAAGACTGAAAGCTCCAACGGGGCCGACGGACGCACTCTAATCCACTATTATGCTCGTCAGCAAAGATCCGTACCTGGCAGTCGTCACAGCAAGGCCTATGTGAAGAGTGGAAGCCATGGAAACATCTAGATTTGGTCTGTGTGACAGGAGAAAGTGGTTACCAAAAACTCAAATGCGGCGAAACTGCTTGGATAATTTCGCCCGAGCCCTAGCTCTATCCCTGAATACCCCACATCACCATTGTTTTTAAACTTTTGATCGCTTTGAAACGCAGTATTTCTCTCTGAACCGCCAAGACAGAACTCTACCACCTCTTCCCGTTTCCCACTTCGTAATGCGGTCTTGCATTCTCTGATCCACCGGCTACACGAGGAGCTGCGAATTTTTTGGTACTGAAACGGGAAATGATTGGTCGTAGGCTGTGTGGGATGAGGAACGGCCACCATGACCTTGTGGGGCTGCCGAGGAAACGCTTTCGCTGGGGGCAGACAGTTTTGTAAAGCGACTCCACACCACACACACAGGTTTGTGATCAACGTCCCAGCATGTCAGAAAGGAGTACTCCAGGTTTGGTGGGTGGTGCGGTGCGGGAGTTCGACTTTCTGCAAGAAATCTGGCGGGCCGCCAAGGAGGTTCGGCTGGCCATTTCAAGGCAGGCTCGTTCTTTCACTGGGTTTTGAGGAGATCGGGCACGGCACAGAGCTTTCTAGAGAGATTCTATTCCTGCTTCAGAGTGTTCCCGAACCTCTCTCAGGAAACATGCATATTCTGCTCAAGGGATGTCGCATGGGTTCGCACCAGTATTTTGCTTTGTTACGTGGTGGCACCTTACCGTGCGACAGCGCACTGAACCAGATTGGATGGTCAGCCAAGGGTCACATTCAGTTCAGAAACATCGAGATTGGCATAAAAGCGTCAGAAATGGTGGAGGTGAGTGAGCAGCCATGGACATTGCCGACAGATGCGACTGTTCTCCATAGATCCATAGTTTCGTAGCGTCAGCTAAGAGTCTCCGCCTTGGAAAGCCCTTTTTGACAGCGACGCACGACGGTCATAACTCTCAACCGATCCTATGCCGTCTGTTATTCCCCTAGTCTTGATTTTGACAGGACATTTGATCGCCTCGAATCTCGATCCACCAATCCGTACTTGTCGTCATGACTTCTGTGTCGCGTCGCGTCAAGACACACGCACCACATGCTCGGTAACCCTAAGTGCTTTCCTTATTACCTTTTCTTGGCGTTAACCGAATATATGACTCCCTGCATGACAGCAAGGACAGTGGTGACAGAAGTGACAGAAGTGACGACATAGAACGCAGCAACAGCTGCTTGGCTGAGCCATGGCTGACCTCATCACGTGACTAATCATTCCGATCCTTCCAATACCGTCACGAAAACCGGCTAGCACGACGCGATAACGACATTTTGTACGATCAAAATAATTTGATAAAACGGATCCTTCCTCCCCACCACGCCGCCTCGGTTTCGTCAACCGCAGTCGCGAATATCGTTCCTGGGTCCAAGGCCTTCCCAATAAGTGAAGTGACTGCTGATGTTTCGTACCGATTTGTATCGCGTCGCGACTCTCCCGATGACGGGACAGCTCCTCGGGAACGCGTTATTTTTTTCGCGAACGCTGTCGCCCAGCGTCGCACGCAAGCACGCGCTGGAGGTGTCGCAGGCAGACGCGCGTAGCATCGTGCCGATGACTCGACTGTTCGCGGACGAGCTGCGACCCGTGCGACGCACCCAGGCCTTGAACTGGTCACACACGAAATTCCTTAGTCGTCCCCCTACCATGCTAAGGGCTGGTCTAATGTCTTGACCATCGAGCTACCAGTAATGACTAGGATCTCATGTCATGTCATGTCATGTCACGGCATGGCATAGGCATCGCACGGCATTGACGTGGCATGATGCCTGAGGAGGCTCCCTAGGAACAGTCTAACGTCAGTATCGAAGCGGCTTTCCCGCTTGATCAATGCAATGCATCACGCATATTTCCTATAAGAAGGATGGCTGTTGGGGTAGTAATCACACTCCAACCTTCCCATCTCTCAGGCTTTCTAGTCTGAGTTCCTACTCTCAATCAGTACTCCTGCTCTCAGACTGCGCTTCTGCTTTCTGCTTCACTCTCCTTCGCTCCACCAAATCCCAGCACTTGTGTAAATTCAGCCCTTGGCGCCTGCTCTTAAACCACCACTCGTCGCCTTAATTCTCACACTTCCTCGCCCCGTTCATACCGCGAGGTCTCAAGGACCCGGTTTACGCACACTAGCTCCCAGACTCTCATTTTCCCTCTCGTTTCGTAGCTCTCTCTCCTCACCATGGCCGGCCTTCTCGACATGGACACGCCTGTGGTGCTCACTAACGCTGCTCCTTCTAACGAGGACGTCAGCGCTGTCTCCGCCTTCGTCTCCAGCCTCAATGTTAACGAGACCAACTCTGGCCCCGCGGTGCCTGTGGGGGGAGATGCGTCAGGACTAGCGCATATCCTGGGCATTGGGACGGCCAACCCGGACAGGAAGGTCACACAAGCGGAATTTCATGAGAAGTTTGTCACAACGCTGCCGTTCCCGGATAAGAAGACCGAGGACCTGTCCAAGCGAATCAGTGAGTGGGGCTTGGGGATCTCATGATTCCAGCCTGTTTCTTTCTTGTTTGTCTCGTTCAAAACAAAGGCTTTCAACACGAGTATCATTTTCCTTTCACTAATATATATATATATATATATATTACTGTTTCTCCTTCCATTTCAACAACCAGTTGAGAACTGCGGCATCAAGACGCGCCACCTGGTGCACGACAGCGACATCTTCAACACCTACGACTCCATCGCTGCCTTTGGCTCGCCCTCCCTGGACACGCGGCTCAAGCTCTGGCTCGAGCCCGCTGTTGCCCTGGGCAAGGCGGCCAGTGAGAGGGCCATCAGCGACTGGGGAGGGGACTGCAAGGACATCACGCACGTCATCACCTTCTCCACCTCCGGCATTCACTGCCCTGGTACACCTTTTTTTTTTTTGTCCTCCGTTTTCCCTTGAAAATCATCATCTTTTCCTAGGAGAACACTCCCATTCTTCTTCAATGTCTTGTGTACTCTTGACTATCCCTGTTTCGGATTACAAAGTTGTTTCGCAGCCCATTCA